ATACTGGAGTGGGTTTCCATTTCCTTCTCCAAGGGATCTTCCCGACCCAGGGATCAAACCTGTGTCTCCTGCATTGCAGGTGGATTCTTTGCCACTGAGCCACCAGGGAAGCCCACCTTTTAAAATTAGAACTCCCTAAAATAATACTAGAATTCCTTAAAATTTTATCTGGGCACATGGCTGTCCAACTAGAGATTACATTTCCCAGTCTTTGACTAGGTAAAGTCCCCAGAGGGGGCCTCCCCAGTGGCTCAGCTTATTGAATAAGACTTTTGGGAGAACTATCAGGAATAGGATAATTTGGCAGTAAAATTTGTCATTAAGAGAGAGAACTTTTTAAATAACTAGGAAACCTTGAAGAAATCTTACAGCTTTGAAATCTATAGAGAAACATGGTCACTGTTGATGTCTGTAGCTCCCTGTCCTGCCCAACCGCGCCATTGTTTCTTAGAATTACAAAGAAGAGGAAATAACATACCTCCAAATCTCCTGAGATATTAGCACCAGCAAGGATCCCAGTTGCTGCTGGGAAAAAAATGGCAAAGACAGAGAAGAAGCCTTCTCCTTTTGTGAAGCTTGGCCCAAAATTTTCTGCAAATATTGATGCTGCAACACAAATAATGAGAAAATTATCATGTAGACTTATCTTCTAGACTGCTAGAAGATAAAGTTACCTTTGGCTTCTGTAGCCCTAAATGCAAATGTGTTCCTATAACCTAAGTGGAATGAGCTTGAAGATATTGGTATAATCTTGATGAACCTCATGTTAATATTTGCCAAGTATCAAAATACATGTCACAAGGTTTTAAATCTCTAGAATATACTCTGAAAAGTCAATAATTTTCATGAAAATGGAGACCCATGCTGTCTGATTTCTTTGAATCTAGAAGACTAAAAAAGAAGGAAACAGAAAATTCTCTCATGATTGAACTAGCATACTCACAAATATACCGCATCATATTGCCCTACACACATACAACTACATTCTCACATGTATATATACCTTAATCAGCATATTGCTTTACTACACCCTTTATTTTTTAAATTGTAGAACCTTGTGGATGAAGCTGTCTTATAGTTTTGAAACTAATGTTCTAACCTCCCTGGCATTTGTCATTAGAAACTGCATCTTAGATCCTTATACCAAATCCTCATTTATAAGAATTCTCATATATAGTGAGGAGCTTTGGTCATAATATAAAAATATACCACAAGTTGTCACCAAATTATTTAAATTAAATGGAAATAATCTAAAAAAAAGAAAAACAGAAGGGAAAACAAAGAAAGAAAAGCAAGGAATAAAAATGTGAACAAAAGAATCTAGGGAAATGCAAAAAGGAGAAAAAATTGAAAACATCAAAAAATTTATAGCAGGAGTTGGAAAAAGGGAAAAGAAGCAAAACGGAAAGGATTTGCAAATCAAGCAAGACAATCTTTACAAAGAAAAAGAATCAGGAAGAAAGAAGTGATGTGATATAAAAAGGGAACAAATAGTGATAACCAGGTAAATATTGAAGGGAAATATAAAAAATCTCAGCCGTGGATTCTTAAGTATGCTAAGGTGGAAAGCTAGGAAAGAGGGGATAGGTGGAGTAGAATAGAAGAGAGAAATCAATGTTTATGCCTTGATCACAGCTGCTATGTTAATAGTTCCTACAATCTTTTCTGTTTGAAAACCTGACAGTGATGCTCAACTAGATAATGTCATAAGAAAGCAAGGTACAAAAACGACTAGAAGGGTGAAAAAATGTCTGTGTTTGACTTTGGTGCTCCCAGTGGTTGGGCACATGGTCTGAGCTAAGTTCCCTTTTTTGCACAGACACCCCTACTGTTCAGACAAGGCTTTACTGGGGCCCCTGCTGCAGCAGAGGGGAGCCAGGACAAATAACAGGTTCCCTTGTTCCCTGGCTTCCTGAGCAGGGGTAAGCTTGTACATTATATGGGGTGAGGGTAGGGAGTGTGCCCAGAGGTTGGGCCAGAGGGCTGGGCCTAGGTGTTGTGCCCACCCCTGAGGTAGTATTGTGTGCAGGGGGCATGTGCAGTACCCTGCTTTTCCATTTAATCCCCTACTTTTGCTCTAGACTTTTCAAAAGTGGCAACTGGATTTTTTTGGTCTCTTTCTATCTTTTGTCTATAATTTTGTGCAACTGTGCATGTACACAGTTATTTTTAGTCCAAAAATATATAGTTTCTTTATATTTTGTTGCTTAAGGAGAGGCTTACCTTTTAGGCTCCAGCACTTTAAGGTTTTCAAAGCACTTTAACATCCGCTGTCTTACTTGCTTTTCAACATTGCTTTAGGAAGTTGCTATTATCATTCCCACCTTGGTAGGAAAATCTGAGACCCAGTAGTGTTAGGTGATCTGTCTAGCTGGCAAACAGCAAGGTTGAGACTCACTCTGGCTCTCCTGACTCAAACCTGAGACTATTCCCTGAAACTCCAGTGGCCAGGGAAGGGGTCATGGGGATGGTGATGGGGGTGGGCAAAGAAGAAGCTTTTATTGCAAGGCAAGCTATTTGACACACATACCTTGATAATTAAAGAAACCTCTGGCCCTCTTCTCATTGTTGGATGGAATGACAGTTCCAATGAAGAAGTTTGCAATAGCAATGAGAAGAATGATCAGAAGAATCACTTGAGCCTGGAATGACAAAGTAACAAGAGGTCAAATTAGTTTTATTCAATGACCTTTTTACATAGTTATAAACGTTGTAAATACCCACTGAATAAGAGCCCTATCTAATAATTCCAGTTAAGATTCTACTACCCAGTGTAGGTAATAAGGGTGTTCTTGTAAAATGGCATCTTAATAAGCCTTATTTGGCCTGAGAATAGATGTTACACTTTCAGTGGGTGCATGACTTCTGAGGTAGTGCAGCGGTAAAGAATCCGCCTGCCAATGAAGGAAACATAAGAGATGCGGGTTCAGTCCTTGGGTTGGGAAGATCCCCTGCAGGAGGAAATGGCAACCCACTCCAGTATTCTTAACTGGAAAATCCCATGGAGAGAGGAGCCTGGTGGGTTATAGTCCATGGGGTCGCAAAGAGTCAGACGCAACAGTGACTAAACACGCATGCATGCATATGCTTGGGCACTTGAAGGTGATATTTCAGGAGCATTCTAAGTACCAAGTGGGTAACTTAGTGCAGTGTCCCTAGGAATGTAAATGGAGCCAAAAGATGTAACACTGACAGAGTTGTCTGCTTTCCTCGGCAGAGCACCTGTGGATTCTTCCCCTTCCTGGTACTAACTGCAGGGGTATGAGAACACAGAATGAGGCACAGGATTCCCAGGATGCCTAGTGCACTTGAGGTCGAGCTATCATACCCGTGTGTGCTCAGCACAAGTTGTCTCCAAGGCTGACCAGCCAAATCATCTGTTCTTTAGTCCCTCTGACATTTCAAGGTGTTTACTGGCTTGGCTGTTCCCCTCAGCTGGAAATGCACTTCTCCCTACATTTTGCCAACCTACGTCTTCACAGAGGCTCTCTTGCCCACTTAATCTAAACAGTAACAGCTAATGTTTAGTGAGGGCTTACAGCACAACAGATGCAGTTTTAGCTTTACCAGTGTCCTTTCAGGTAAATAATCACCACCCACAGGTGTATGCAGTAGGTAATACTGCTATCATCATTTTAAGGATAAAAAAACTGAGGGATAGAGAGGTTAAGTAATTTACCAGAGGTCGTATAGACATAAACCAGGTTCAAATCCACTCTAACTACAGAGCTGGAGCTCTAAATCCTACCTTCTACTGTCATGAAACTACATTGCCTCCCTCAGGGAATAATCTAACGTATGTTCCCCCTGCTATATTCTATCTCAGTGCCCTGTTTATTTCCTTTATAGCACTTTCACAATTTACCATTCTATATTTACTTTTTTATTACTCATCTCCCCATAGACCATATGCTCAGCTACGGCAAGGATTGTGCCTGTGTGGGTCACACTGAATATCCCGTGCCTAGCAAAATACCCAGCACATGATAAGCACTTCGTCAGTTTTTGTTTAATGTGTGAATGCATAACCCACAAATAAATGCCATGTAAGAATGTTTCCTATTGCCTTATATAAAATGGGAGGTTTTGGCTATCTTTCCATTTCTGGTGACCACTTGAGATCTAGGTACTGCACCTCCAAGCACATAGGAACCTAGGAGTTTCGATTGTACTAGTCACTGTAGAGAGTTACAAAGCAAGCAAAAGATATTCTCCCCTCCATTCAGAAATTTACTAACTGGTATGCCAATCACTGAGTGACTTCCCTGTTGGCTCAGATGGTAAAGAATCTGCCTGCCAATGCAGAGACACGGGTTCGATTCCTGGGTCGGGCAGATCCCCTGGAGAAGGAAATGGCTACCCACTCCAGTATTCTTGCCTCGAGAATCCCGTGGACAGAAGAGCCTGGCAGGCTACAGTCCACGGGGTCACAAAGAGTCAGACATGACTTAGCGGCTAAATGACAACATACTAATCATTAAATCCAGATATTCTCGAGTTCCAGGACCTCTGGTACCCTTAGATTTGCTTCTGGAGTACGGGATTTCAGAGGGGAATGACAGTTTCTGCCTCTATTATCATCTCCCAACACATTCGTCATATCTTGTGGATGTCAGCATTCATGGTCAGCTAGGAAGGGGATACCAGGGAAATGAGGAAAAGACACAGGCCTCCAGTATGTACAATTGCTATGACCACAAGGGGTCTGTGCGTGAAGATGGCAGCAATCTTGTTGGCTGTGTCACTGTGGCTACAGAATAAAGGGCAAAATATAGGCCTGATCACATGAGCTATGACTTACTGCTGCCTGGGCTAGGTGCTTTGAGGACTTGTTGTTCCACTGAGCACTGACCAGGCTCCTTTTACCATAGAAAGTAATAATAGCAATTCATTTTGAATATGGAGTTCCTTCTATTCCTGCAATTTGTTCAGGAAGCTGACTAGCAGTTGTTGGTAATATCATTTTGAGAAACTAACCTTTGCTTCCCATTCCATTCCAGCTACTGAAATTCCTAAAAGAATCACCACTGTGATGGAGCCTATGATCCGGATGTCATTGGTTGGATCCACCATCATTGAATCACTCTCCTGGAACAACAACAAAAAATCCCCCCTAAATAGTTAGAAGTTTGGTTTTTTTTTTTTTTTTTTGTCTGTATGTGTTATTGTAGCATTCAACAGTAAAAAGAGATACTATGCCCTGCTGTCTGGGGATAATAGAAAAATGAAATGCTCATAAATTTGAGAAGATAAAACCTCTAGCGTTACTTTTTCTTGTAATAATAAGCCTTTGATAGCCAAGGTTAGGAGTTAAAATTTTTAGAGATCCATTCTAGGCACAGCTTTTGAAACTATTGTAGCACTAAGTAAAATTATGGTTATGTACACTTATCACATTTTGTTTCAGGAGAACAACCAGTTATTTCTGTGTGTCAAGGGGAATCCTAGAGGGATGAAAATGAGTGGTCTCCAATGTGAATATCAAAAAATAAGTGCTACTCAATTAAAGAACAAACTATGAACTATATAATCCACTCATTTATTAATTTGATTTTCAGCTAGAGGTACTATTACCTATTGAATTCCGTATCTGCTATCACTTCCACAGAAGGAGGACTGGAAGCTAGCTCACCTACTAGTTAATTAATGTCCTCACATACATACCATCCAGACAGAGCACCTATGCTAAAAAATGCCATTTCCTATAGTGAGTGCTAATGTTTGAACTTTCTTTCCTTTTGGACATCTGTAACCATAATAGTAATATTGATGCTAACAATAATGCTCATTATTTATCTTTTCTTTCATGTTTTACCCTGTATTTCATGTCCATTATTTCATTCGATCTGTACCACATTTATATGAAAGACATAGGACAATATTATTAACCCATATTATGGATTTGAAAAGCAAGGTTCAGATAAACAAAGGGACTGGTCCAAAATCTGTCAGCTGGTAAGTATGAGAGCCAGGACTCTGAGAAGTTCTGATGCCAACTATATTCAGCTTCCACATTCCATAATGATATCCTCTAGTGCCCTGGAAAAGCAAATTAAACCAAATTATCTTGCTTGGATAAAGAGAACAAAAGCTTTTAATTACCTTAAGAAGATCTACCACAGTCTCAGCAAATCCCACCACATACATAGCAACAGCCACTGCATTGGCAAAAGCAAAGATCAAGCCTATAGATCCACCGAACTCAGGCCCTAAGCTTCTGGAAATAAGATAGTAGGCCCCACCTGAAACAAGAAATGAACATGTTTTATACTGACAAACTGCTAAAGGATTTAGTTTATATGACCAAATAATTTTGACTGTCTGAGAACATTTAAAATACTAACTATTCTAATTTTCTGTTTTAATAAAAATATTACGAATCCTAGTAATTTTAGAAATCTTGTGTCAACTTAATGAATAACTTAGCCCTTCTTTGAATTCTGTGTATAATCTACAATAAAACTATCTTGACTAGATAAAATCTAATTTATCAAAACCTATAGTACACAAATGCTACAAATAGGAATATAGCAAACTTTTCTTTCAAATTCTTTGTCTTTTGAAAATATAAAATTATTTGTCTCTAACTTCATTGGAGAGTTCAGATTAATAATTTCATATCTGAAATTTCCAGAAACAGGCAAGCACAGGCAGAAAATGAAGTAGGTAAAGTTTATCAATGTCATTCAAGCTTCATTTCTGGTATAATTTTTGGTATATATTTACTACATTAAAATTGATAACTACATAGTGCTATGTATTATCCACTTTATACATCAGACTTAGTTTTGATGATTTTAGCTCAAGAAAGCAGGGTTATCCCCAAATACCCATATGTGAATTGGGGTGGCAAATGGGAAGTAACACGCAGAGAGCTTAGGATGATTGCTTCTCTCTTGACTTTGAAAAGGAAGTTCTACACATGGCTGTGTACTTCTGGGTATGAGAAAGACTGAGCCCAGGACACCAGCATAAGTCAACTTTTTCTTTCCAGGGCCCCATTTTAGATTGTGTTTACTTTTGGAGACCATCCTTCATCATAACGGCTAATCACCTTGAGAGTTCTGAGAGAAAGTTCTGAGTTCTGAAGGCAAAAATAAGTAGTTGTTGAAAGGCCTAGGTGACTGGATGTTATCACAGAGCGTGTGAATGCATGACTTCCTGTACTGAACTAGTGGTAGAATGACGCTGAACACAGACACAGTACAACCAAAACTATCTTTCACTGAAAGCTTCACTGTTTCCTCCATAGTAACTCCTTTGAGTGAAGGGGCAACACCTTCTCTATAAATGTAACTTTTAATTTGGGTTGGGCAAATCCTCACTATTTCCATTGTCCTGATTACATTAAGTAAATTAGCAGCCAATTACTAGACTTGGTCGAGGAAGAAAGGAAGTTTGAAGAACAGTGACAAACTTTACTCACTCATTTCCAGCCCAGGCCCACATGTTCCTGGATGATTTGAAAGTAACCCTTTGTTTTATTTTCTTTTTGAGAATCTTCTGAAGCCTGTTGGCCATTGGTAGCATAGCGTTGAGGTGAACTCTGAGGGCTTACTGAATGAGAAGTGTCAGGAGTGTCAGCTGCGATGCTCAAGAAGACCCCTTCTAAGAGGGCCTGGGGAAGAGCCAGCGGCGCTCATCCAAGGCACAAAGAAACCATTTATTTCACTGTAACACATGCTTTCTTTCTAGACACCTGATCATTCTCTGCTTTATAAACATGATCAATCATAGGAGGTGGGCCCAAAAAATCTTTTCTGGAGATCTCTTAATTTTAGGTAAAAAGAATCATGCCTTTTTATTTAAATTTTGGATCATTTTGTTTGAATCCTTTGGGAACTAATTATCAACGTACAAATTTTACTTCCAACATTAAACCAACTCTAGACATCACTACATAATCAAAGCTTGTAGTCACAAGTGCATGGATTGGCTTACCTCCTCTTACCACTCCATTTGTGCAAATAGCAGACATAGAAATACCTGTAAGTGTTGTCACTACCACACTCAGGCCGATGATGATGACTCCAAGACCTGAAAAATCCCCCAAGAAAGGTGTTTGGCTCCAGGACTTCAAGAAGTCACCAGTAAGTACTTCAGGAGGCAGCAGTTTGAACCTTGTCAAGGAACGATCCGTCTCCCCATGAGAAACCTGAAATGTTCTAAAAGATCCCATTGCATCCAGGTATAGGAAGGTCTAGAAGGTACCTGAAATGTACTAAACTTTAAAACTGAAGCTGTGTTGAGGAATCGGTTTTCAAGAAACGCCAGCTGGTGTTGTGCAGTAGCCTGAAAAGTAAAGCATTTACCCACGGAATTTGTGCATATGGAATCCATGACCTGCAACGTGCCAGAGAGGACCGTTAGAAAGAGACCATAGCTGACTGGAGTAGACAGGGGCTATATGGACAGTACCTTATGTTTTCTTCTGGGTCCAACTTCAAGAACATCGAGCTACTTTCTTGTTTCCACCAAAAAGAAGTAAAGAATAATAAAAAGTTTTTGCCTACCCATAGCAAGCGTTGAGAATATTTAGATATCTTAGAAATTTTACCTCCACGAACAAACCCGTTAGTTGCTATTGCAGAAGTTGACAACCCAGTAATAGAAGTGACCATGGTGGAAAGAAGAATTATGAGAACTCCAAGACCTGTTAGCAATGAAAGACAGAAGATATTACATTTTATTCTTCTTCCTTGGATTCCCTATTGCTGCAAACTATACTGCTTTGAATTTAAGTTTTTACATCCAAGCCTTTGGGCCCCAGCGGAGTTCCTTCGTGCTAAAGAGAAACTGGTTTGCCTGGTATAAAGATAAAATCAGAGAACTGCTCATTATGATGAAGGATGGTCTCCAAAAGTAAACACAATCTAAAATGCGGCCCTGGAAAGAAAAAGTTGACTTATGCTGGTGTCCTGGGAGAGAAGTTACCCTGGCTGTGAAAAGAGAAAACATAACATTTGACCTTCTCTTGTGCTTGCGAGGAACCTGAATGAGAAAGCTGGAGTTTTGACAAAGGTTAAATCCTTCTCCATTTTTCTTGCATCTCTCTTGCCTGGCAGGGGAAAAAAAGGAACCAACTTGGATTACCTTTGAAAACACTTCAGAAATGTCAGTGGTGAGCTCTTTGAACCTGTGTTGCCTTTACCTTACAAATGATCACGCAGGTCGGAAGTTTAATTACCTCCTCTGACACATCCATTTGTAGCAATAGCAGAGGTGGATAAGCCAGTGATACCAGTCACTGTCACGGCTAAGCCGATGATAATCACACCAAGACCTCAGTTGAGAAAGGAAAAGCAAAGGCAATTAAATGGTGGAATAATCCATTTAGATTGTTTACAAAAAGTCAGCAAGTCTAGAGTAATCACCAAAGGATCACATACGAGTTTAACAAGTTAGTCTGGAAGCCACCACAGAGGAAATGCTCAGCTTCGAAATTTTCTGCCCATGGTAACACAGATCCAAGAAACTCAAGACCTAAGATGTGCAGTACAAAGTTGCACCTAATTAAGCAACAATGGCTGGTCAAAATTTAACGTGAACCTCACTATTTATGAAGTTCTAGACACCCATAAACATAATAATTGGTCTGAACAATCCCAAGCTGCTAATATTATTTGTAAAGGGTAAATATTCAATCTTCCAGGGAACTATCTTTTTATGTATATTTGATTGCATAGGAGTGGAAAATTATATATATTAATAGTGTAGAAAATTGTTCATCTGGCAGAGGAATAAAGTAGAAAGAATTACATCAAACTGCATTTACTCATTGGCTATGTGAACTCTGATAAGTTACCTATTTTCTGAGCCAGAAATGGCAATGAAATTAGAAAGAATGTGTGTAAAGTGGCCATGTATAAAGAAAGCAGTGGCACGTGTAAAGGCAGAATGCATGTGAAAGACAGAATGCATGTGTAAAGACAGAATGCATGTGTAAAGTAGCATAGTGCATACAACACAGTACATAATCAAAGGTGCCGCTTTTTAATCATATCCACAGTAGTAGTAACAGTTATTGTTTATTAAAAGCCAACTATATATCCAGCTGTGTTAGGCAGTATGTGAAATGCAATGAAAA